AAACCAGAAAAAACAAACATTTCCTAGGGTCTTGTGTGAGCTTCCCTCCAAGGCTGGGCTGACTGCTCCTCACCCTGGTACTGCCAGACCCTGAGCAGCCCACGCTGCTGGACACCCACCAGCTCACACTGCTGGATCTCTGCCAGCCCCTGACAAATGATTTTGCCATTTCATGAGGGAAAGGAGACATTGATTAACTCCAGTACTTGCCTTTCTGGAAAGGTTATGGCTTAATTGGTCAAACTTGGGAGTCATAAATCATGTACTGAAGGATCAGCAGAGATAAGAAAATTTTTGCAGAATGTTGCAAAACACTTTTTGGTAGGAGGGAAGGAGCGATCCAGGTGTGCCCACCCAGCTGTGGGGGCTGATGGTTCTTCAGTGTCCAGGATTCTTCCAGGGAAACGATTCACCCTCCAGCCACAGGCTGGAAATTCCCCTTTCTGTTATCAGCTAAACTCATTTGCAAAATATCCTTTTTTATTTTACTTATGGAAAAAGAAAACAACAGGAAAGTCATTGTTTGCTTTACTCAGACAAATCGCAATTCCATCTGGTTTGAAAAATGACTCTGCTTTTCACTGGAAAGTGCTATTTCTCCAACCTAAAAACTGTAATGGTGGGGATACAGCAGATCAGCTCTCAGCAGAGCGGAAAATTGAGCARGGGAACTGTCAGGCTTGGTTTGGAATGATGCTGGAGGCAGATTTTTGTCTCTCTCARTGAGCTGGGCCCCATCCGGGTGGGCACGGCTTGCACTGGCCACATGGGATGGGGAGTGGGCACACTGGGCTGGGGGGAGTTGGGATGGGGAGCAGGGACATATCAGGAAAAGGTAGAAATGTCCTAGCTCGGTGACCTTGGTGCTGTTCAGGACATGGCATTATTGGAGAATGGGATGAACTCTAGGCTCACAGAGGACAGGATGTGCAGACCTGTTCAGGGTCATCTAGGACAATGATTTTTAAACCAAAAGGAATGGGATGGACTGACTCAGTGACCAGGATTTCAGTGGAGCAGGGACAGAATTATCAGTAGGGAAATCAGCGTTGAGCTGGGGAAGGTGGAGTCTAAAAAAATTACAGGGAGAAGGCAAACAGTTGTATAGGACTAGGAGCGGTGACAGGCTGGAGGTCCTGTGTCAGGGCAGGGCTGGGGCCGGTCCCATTAATTCCTSGTTAATGACCCAGACAGGAGGAGGTGGCGCCCACAGGGGGCAGCTGGGGCCGTCACCTCCCGAGAGGAGCTSAGCGGGGCTTGGCTTCGGGATCTGGCAAAAACAAGGCTGAGGGGGGTATGAGTGATGCTCAGCCAGACTGGGATGGGCGAGTGCCCTTTGCCGAGGCGCAGCATGCACGGGAGGAGGGCTGTGTTTTTCTGGAACGGCTTCCAAGGCAGAGGGTGCTTCTCCTGCGGCATCTCTTGATTAGCTCATGCTGTGCCTGCCCAGGGGGGTGGCCGGACGGTGCCGGGGTCCCGCCTGCAGTCAGGGTGCCCAAACGGGCGGTGCAGGACACGCCTGCAGGGACAGGATCCCCTGGGACCTCAGGCTGATTCCGACTGGGATCGGCAAGGTCGCACCCAGGCCAAACGGGTCCCCAAGGCTTCAGGACGGCGCGTTCCCAAAACAGAGTGGGGAGGCTGGGCAGGATGACACCACTCTGCTCGTGTACTGGGAGGGAGAACGAGAGGCTGAGGTTTACCCTTACAAAAGGGTCCTTTGAGCAGGAGCAAGGGGCTGGCAGCAAGCAGGAGAGCCAGGCTGTGGGCACAGCCAGTGATGGGGGCACCAGTTGCCTGTGGGCACGGTGCTGAGGTGGTGGGAGCAGCTGGAGCCTGGCGGAGAACCCCAACACTGGTTCTCAGTGGGACACAACTTCTCAGTCTCCTCCACGAGGACCAGCCAGGTGTTTCTTTTCAGGTTTATTGATGTTAATGCAGTTAGTCCCGTGTTAATGAGCGCACACAAACGCAGGGCCCATTGCTGGGGCTCAGCCAGGGTAAAACCACCCAGGAGAGCAGGGAGCAGTCAGTGTCAGAACATCTACAGGTCTGCACTCCCTGGGATGCTCCAGGCACAGCTTCCAATGCAGGAGCCCTCCCTACTGCCCGAGACACGGCTGGCACTGGCAGGGATAAAGGCACTTTAGGGAGAATTGCTACACTCCTGGTAGACTGTGAACRAACCTCGTGAGCGGGTGATGGGGTTACTGCTGACACACAGCAGGGAGAGCACTAAGGACAGGGAACCAAAGATTCTGGGAACTGAGGATGGGGTAAGAAGTCCCAGCACCCCAYCTCTGAGCATGGGAAGTCTCAACCAGTTGATGATCAAGACTTACACAGCTGGACAGAAACAGCTTCAGCTGGGGGGACTGGTTACTTGGCATCTGCTTTAGCTGAACTTTCAGTGTGGTGGTTCTCCAGGTATATGATCTGGGGGAACTTTTCAGAGGAACAGGGTGGTCTGGGACTCTGGAGGTCCCTGGGCAAAGCCAGGCTTGCTGCTGGGGCCTCTTCCATGGAGTTCTGTGAATCTGAGTCTTCAGAGGAGAAACTGCTCTGGCTGGAAACCTGGAAATACTGGGCAGCTTCTGCCCGTGGCCCTGCCGGTGCACCAGGTGTGCTGGGATCTGAGGCAGCCCCACAGGGCACAGCASTGGCACACGGTGGGTCAGCACCTGGGAAGCGTGTCCAGGGAGGCAGGGTGAAGAGACGCCTCCGGGGGGGCTGGCTGCACTCCTGGGTGAGGTGTCCTGCTGCTCCCAGGCTGCCTTTGCTCTTGGGTTTGGGGTGGAGGGTGTCAGCAGAGATGTGGTGCTGAGAGGTGTGGGCACCCTGAGGCCCCAGCTGGCAGTGAGGCTGCAGGGAACTCTGCTCCACACCCAGTGTGGAGCCAGGAGCAGTGCTGGCCTGGGGCTGTCCTGGCCCCTGGGGCTGTCCTGGCCCCTCAGTGCTGCTCTCTGGCTGCTCTGCCACACCCCTGCCCCCCAACACCGCTGGCTCAGGGCTGGGGGCTGCTCTGCACACTGGGGCCTCTGTGCAACACACCACAGACCCTGGGCTGGAGGAGTCTCCCTGCCCATCGGTTTGTGCTCCCCAGGCCTCCTGCAGCTCCGCCAGCATCTCCTGCAGCACCYGCTGCGTCTCCTGGTACCTGTGCCGTGCCTCTGTCCAGGCTGCCAGCCCTTGGCTGCTCTGCATCCTGCGCACCTGAGTCTTCATCTCCTGCAGCTTCTCGCGGGCGAACTCYGCCGAGAGCTTCTGGAAGGATCTCTGCAGGCACCGCAGCGCCTGGCCCTCCCCTCGCTGTGCCCGGGCCGAGCACTGCCGGCAGTCCACCTTCAGCCCCGCCACCTACAGAGAGGTGAGAGYGGCCGGTTTCGTGGCCATCACAGCCCCAGGTCCTGCAGGGGAAGGAAGGGAACTCCATGTGCTCCAGGTGCTCCCTTCACCCACCTTGTTGGAGAAGTGGACGAGCTCCTGCAGCAGCTCCCGTTCTGCCTGCCGCCGTTCCAGCTGCTTGGAGAAGCTCAGCAGCTTTGTCTGGAAAAGGGCTGCAGCCTCTTGGAAGGCGTCTGCCTCGGGGAACGCCGTGTCTCGGACCTCGGCCGCCTCCCGGCACAGGGTCAGGCCRTGCTGGTACTGAGCCTGCAGGGAGGACGGGAAGGAACAGGCTGCACTCTTGGGAATGGTGCTGACCTGGGATATGTGCACAGGGTCAGCACTGGGTATCACCATCACWGATGCACGGCAAACACTTCTGGGCAAGTCAGAAGAAACAAAGGGATGGGATTCTTCTGCATATGTCTGCTGTGTCCTGGCTTGGTTCAAAATGCACCAAATGCACCTCCTGTCCCTAGTGGGGTCACCATGCCTCGCCCTCCCTGCAGTGTGTGTGTGACTAAAGGGCCTACACATCCAGGGGAACAGGAAGATCCTCATCACAATGTTATTTGTTGTCTGATGGATGCCCAGGCTTTGCAGGAGAAAGGAGCTGCATGGATGGAGCACAGCAGGGRCTGGGGACAGCAGACCCAGCCCAGCACACCAAGGAACAACACAGCCACCCCCTCACTGGAGCAGGACCACCCAGAGTCCCCCCAATGCTGAGTTTGACAACTGCAGTGTGACTCAACAGCCCGGGGACACCCARYTCTGCCCAGAAGCCTCTTTCCAAACCCAGGGGATGTCTGTTACAGAAAAGTCCCTCCAGACGTACTGTGGCCTGGGCGAGGAACTCCTTGAAGTGCTCAGCAGAGCCTGGGCAGCTGTCGGGACTCCACTCCTCAGTGCCCATCTCCTGTAGCCGCGCTGCTGCTTCCCCTTCCAGCCAGGAGCTCAGCTGTGAGAGAGCAGAGCAGGGATAAGGTGGGACYGACCACGGCAGCAGCGTGTCCACAGCACCTCCCCTTCCTGCCCCCGCCAGCCATCMCAGCCCAGGCACAGCCACACACACTCACCCACAAGGAAAACCAATGCTCAGGCAATCCTGCCATTCTCCAGGCTCCCACCATCATCAAAAACAAAGGAAACAGGACCAAAACACTCAACCGTGGAACACCACAGAGGGCAACTTCAACTTGTGGCACCACAGGGACACCCAGCTCACCTTGCCAAACTCGGTCTCGAGCTCGCGGACCTTGCGGAGGAACTCCAGGTGCTCCAGGCAGCTGTTGGACTGGGACACGAGGTCATGAAGCTCTTCCTCTAGCTGGCTGTACAGCCCCTCAGCCAACTCCATACCGGTCCTGGGGATTGGGAGGAGAGGGGCCATCAGTGCCAGGTGAGTTTGGTGATGCACAAGATGGAGGGGACCCGTTGTGTTGATCAGCTCCTGAGCCCAGCCCTGCAGACACCTGGACATCTCCCCATCCCATGGAGTGACATGGATGGCAGGGACCATGGGATGGGAAAGCCTCATCTATCAGGGCAGCCCAACCCCTCTGAGCGAAGGGAACAGGAGGGAGCAGTGCATCAGTGCTGCCTGTGCATGCATGGATTATGGAGTAGCGTGGTGTGGCTGGACCAGTGCAGCATCTCCAGATGGGTGCAGCATCTGCAGATGGGTGCAGCATCACCAGATGGGTGCAGCATCACCAGATGGGTGCAGCATCACCAGACAAGAGCGACATCACCGGGTGAGTACGGAATGGCCCGATTACAGCACGGCTGGAGGAGTAACAGCACAGCCAGATTACGCCATCACTGGATGAGTATGGCACGTCCAGGTGGGGTGACATCACTGGATGAGTATGGCATGGCCACAGTACAGCATGGCCAGATCGTGGCATCACTGGATGAGTGTGGCATGGCCAGACAAGTGCGACATCACCAGACGAGTGCGACATCACTGGATGAGCACGGCACAGCCGGCCAAGCGCACCACGGCCGGGACTTGGCCCCATCTAGTGGCTTTTCCTGAGCCCAGCCCGAGGCATTACTGCCGGCATTGCACAGCAGTGACGGATCTGGCCTAGGGCAGGAGACCCTCCCAGGGGTCTGGAACCTTCCCCAGTAAAGATGAGTGGACTCCTGTAATGGGCTGTGCCAGACATGTGCTCCGTGCTCCAGAGCAGGACAGAGCACAGCAACAGCTGGGGCTCATGGGGACGGGGCTGTCCGTGGGGAGGTGGCTCTGTCAGCCAGCAGAAGCCGGGGGTCCCTGGCCTTGGCACCCCTTGACCAGCAGAAGTGCCCTGTCCTACCTGACGTGGTCAGAGGCGCGGAGGCGAGCGGCCTCCCTGCGCAGCCTGGCCAGCACGAAGCCGCCCTCGCGCTGCACCCGCACCAGCTGAGGGTCGCTCAGCACCTTCTGCATCAGCTCCTGGTGCCTCCTGATGCCCGCAGCTGCATCCTGAGGAGGGAAGGAGGGTCAGAGTGTCTTACCTGGTGTCTCACCTGGGGCCTCAGCCAGCACAGGACGGGTACCTGGGGMTGCACCCCAGGCAGGAGCAGAGGGGACAGGGGACAGCCCCATGGCCAGGAGCGGCCAGTCTAGGAGCAGTTGTGCCACGTTTTGGGCTACTGGAGTGAAATGTTGCTGTGGCTGCACTGCAGATGRGCACTTTGGGAATGTCCCCAACCTGTGGCACTGCCACCCCTGTTACCTGTGTCCCTGCCAGTGCRTCTGTGTTCCGCAGCTCCTGGATGCACCACTGCAGCAGCTCCGATGCCCGCCTGAGGCCGGCTGTGAAGGGATGCAGCTTCTGTGGGGACACACACAGCTGGTCAGCAGGGCAGCAGGCCATGAGGAGGAGGAGGAGGAGGATGAGGAGGTGGAGCAGTGCCAGGACAGAGCAGGGAATATTGTGAGGCACTGGGTTAAAGCTGGTAAGGAAGGGAGTGGAGGTGGATGGGCAGCTGCAGGCAGGAGCAGATAGGAAGGAGCTTGACCCTCCCGTGCTCAAAGCTCTCCTCATTCCCCTCTCCCAGCCCTTCCTRTCACTCTTCCAGGGATGTGTGTGGGATGTGTAAGATGCAGTGGGGACAGAGGGACACAGGGGAGGTGAGGCAATGGCTCATGGCGTGGTAACAGACACCTGGAAGAATTGAACCCACTCGCCGTGGCAGTAGGGGAAGGCACCATCCAGCTCTGGGGGCAGCTGGGAGCTGTCGATGTGGCGGCCCAGAGCCTTCAGCGACGTCAGGGTCTCCACCTGCAGGGCACAGGGTTTGTAAGGCTGCCTGGAGCAGGGAATAACCCTGTCCCACCCCAGCCCAGGACACAGGGACAGGCTCACCTGCACCCCAGGCAGCCTCTCACGGTGGGACAGCAGCTCCTTCTCGGCCAGGAGCAGCACGCTGTGGATGCAGCCTGGAGAGACACTCTATGGGAGGCAGGGGAGGGTCACCAGGGCAAACCCCACGTGCAGCCCTCAGGTCACCCATGGCAGTGCTGGGATTTCCTGGGGTGGCTGAGGCTGGTGAGCTGATTGCAAAGTAAAAGGCTCCCATGCTCATTGGTGTGGGAGATGGAAACAGGTCATTCAGGCCATGACCTCACCACAGCCACCAGCTCCCTGGCAAAGGACTSTGGGGAGACCCTCATGARYGAACCCCTTCTCTCACACCAGTGASRCTTCTCCATGTGAKGAGCATSAGGGCTGACATGGGTTTTATYAGGCATGCAAAGGCRAAGGGTGCTGTGGCAGCRGGGACCCCCTGGCCTYTGGACAGCACAGGGCACTCCTGTGACACARCCTGGGCACTGGCACGAGGACTCTGCCAGGACAATGGACTGTCACTGCAGAGCCCATTTCCTGGTGAGTTCACACAGCAGGATGCTGGAGGGCTCTGGGTGATGCCACAGGGCTGGGTGATGGCAGGGCTGGGAAGGGACTGTTGGGGATCGTGTGACGAAGTGGGCACAGGGCAGGCTCTGAGGGACCCCCAAAGGGTGGCAGCACTCCCTCTCAGACAGGGGCACCCTGGCATGTCTATGGCATGGACACACATACCTGGACGGAGCGGAGGGCTGAGAACAGGACAGGAGCAGGCGGCTGCTTCCGAGCATCCACCACGAGCGTGAGCCCAACATCCTTCGCTTCTCGCCTCTCACCATTCTTCACTTCTTGCCTAGTGAGGGGAAACACAGCAGGAGTGGGGGTCCTTCCCTGGGGCAGGGCCCTCTCAAAGCCCCCTCCCACATTCTGCAYCCCCAGGCAGGCAGGCAGGAACCCACAGCCACAAGCACTGGCCTTGTCCCTGTGGGATGCTGCAGCCACGGGCTCAGAGCGTGTGCCTCTGGCAGGGGCATGGTCCAGGGTCCTCAGGGATGWGCCCAAACCAGCGTGTGTGGGATGCTGGGCACCCATCCCAACTCTGCCTGGGAGCCCTGAGCCTGGCAGCAGCTGGGGATCCCTRGCAGGTCCTGCTGGCCCTTACCTGGGGAGGGAGCAGAGGCAGAGGATGAGCCTYGCCAGCTCCGCAGCTGAGCACCACGCAGCCCGCCAGGCACTGCCACTGGTGGTCACCACGAGGAGGGCCCTGCCCATCCTGTCCGAGCTCCCTGTGGGGAAAGGGTGAGTGACCCTCCTGACAGCCCCCTGCCACACCTGAGCACCCCACAATGGGCTGGGGCACCCAACTCAGCTCAGGGCGGCCATGGTGCAGCCCCTCTGGCCCTTCTGGAGGGGCAGAGCCAGCCAGGGGAGGGGGGTTCCAGTGAATGCCTGTTCCAGAACTGCTGGGGACATTTTTCCTGAGAAAAAGATGGTTTTTGTTACTGCGTTTTGGTTCTTGGGAAAAAGAAGGAGCCAAATGTTTAGTGTTTGGCAGCTAAAGCTGAACAGCTTCACTGGAGAGGAATGGTGTGGGAGGGCTCGGGGCGGCTGGGACCGGGGCAGCTGCACTGTGCAGGCTGCTTGCATTTATATGTTTTTAATGTTTTTGCCCAGCTGAAAGGAAATTTTCCGCTTGGAGTATTTCTGGCCTCCAGCAAAGAAAGCCCTGAAACCTTCCTGTGGAACAGTCTCTCCAGCAGCCCATGTTTCCCTCCAGAGACCTCTCTCACCATGCCAGCTCATGATGCCAGCGTACCTGGCAGGCAGATGATGCCSGAGCGCAGCAGCCCAGCGTGCAGGTCCTGCCAGGCTGGGGGCTCCCGACCAGCAGTGCCCGTGCTGGGCACAGAGGGACCGTTCTTGCAGCTGGCACTTTCCAGGGACCGTTCCTCCATGGGAGCAGCAGTGGCTGCATTCGTACCTGGGCACGGGGAACGAGGAGAGAGGAGCTGCTGACACTCAACAAAGCAGAGGAGTAGCAAAGCCCCAGCAGTGCCTGCTCAGGCCCTGCAGCCCCACAGGATGGTACCTTTCCCTGCTGCCCTGGCTCTGCCCATCCTGGGCGAATAGATGGCCGACATCTTCTTCCAGGCCCCCTCGTGCTGGCTGGTGACTCTTTCATCCACAGGGGCTGCCCCGAGCCGTGCACCCTTCAGGAAGGAGAACTTGTGTCTGGAACCTGGGGGGAGCCGGGGGCTGCCCCGCTGCACCAACCCCCCTTGCCCCGGCACCCCAGGAGTCGCTTGGCAGGACCGGCGGGTGAGGAGCGTGGGGCTGCCAGCCCCCTTCCTGTGCTCTGCGGGGCTCTCACGGGGGGTGGCAGGGGCCAGCTCGGGGCCGGGGCTGTCCGGCTCCTCCAGGATGGCCGCCATCAGCCCAGAGCCGAAGCTCACCGGGTTCTGCAGCGCGGCCATGTAGGAGTCTCGCTGGCGGCACTTTGGGCCATGTGGCCCTGGCTCCTGGCTCAGCCTCCTCCCCAGACTCGGGCTGCAGGGATCCTCTGAGCTCAGTGYTCCTCCACAGGTCCAGGCCTCTGGTCCCGGTCCCCCATTTGCCCAGGGGAGCATCACCTCGGCCCCAGCCCTTATTCTCCCTGGAGGGCAGGTAGGCAAGAGGGATCTGCTCAGGAGGTCCATGTCCTCCTGGGATTGCTCCAGCAGGTCCACATACTCCCCCTCCAGGTTCTGGCTGATGATTTCACAGAGGCTGGGCACAGCCAGCGTGGCCGGCTTCTTCCGCAGCCCTGCCTGCTCCACCTTGATGAGTCCTGGGTATCGTCCCTGGCCTGACTTCCAGGAGGTGGCCTTGCAGCCTGGGATGGTGCCCACAATGTTGCTGTAGGGCGTGGGGACATTGGCTGTGCCATGGGGCACAGGTGTGCCGGGTGCTGCCGGCTCAGGTGCRGGCTCAGGAGCAGGTTCATGCCGGGCACCCACGGACACAGTGTCAGCTCCAGCCCCGGGCTTGTCGGTGAACTCGGGCATGGCAATCCGGCTCCACGGCAGTGGGGTGACRCCGTTCTCGGTGGCCACCAGGCAGGTGTGCAGGGGAGCCCCRGCCCAGGTGCTGTTCACCTCCTCCAGCCACGCATTGGTGAAGAGCAGTGCGTGGGTGGCCTCGGGGACCGGTGTCTCCTCCACCGAGCGCAGGTCCAGGGACAGGTGCTTGACGGTGACACGTGCCGTGTGCTCCTCGCAGGGCTCTGCTTGCAGGTAGAAGTCCCCGGGACGCAGCAGGAGGGGGTTGAGCGGCGCGAGGTGCACGACCACCTTCTCGTGCAGACACAAGGGCCAGCCTTCATGGAGAAAGATGCGGTTAAAGTAGGGAGCCTGGGAGGGAGGAAGAACAGAGCGCATGAGAGAGCCCTGCCAGCTGGGAGCCTCCCAGCCACCCCCACGCGCTCCCGCTGCCCGGCTCCCAGGATGGGGGTGAAAGAGCCTGGTGACCCAAAGGATGTCCCTGAGCCAAGCCCYTGCAGCAGAGCCCTGCAAGCCCACCCTGAGCCATGGCTATTCCCAGTGTGGGGAGTCTCCYCATGTGCTTACAGAGGGAAAACCCCTGCTTAAGCCTCTCTAGGATCAAGACAAGATGACCCCAGAGTCTCCCTGCCCTTATTGCAGGGACTGCGTGTGCTGACCAGTCCCAGGGAGCTGGGAGTGCCATGGTCCCTGTGCAGGATGGAGTGGATGTGCAGGCAGGAAGCCCAGAGGTGAGTGTGGCCATGCAGGCAGGACTCCTTAGGGCAAACCCCCCGTGTGAGGCACCGTGGTGGGGCACGGGGGCTTACGCAGGCCGCCTGCCGCAGGCGCTCGAAGAGCCGCTTGGCCGGGATGAGGAACTGGAGCAGGCAGCAGAGCCCATCGCCCTGGTAGCTGGACTCCAGCAGCCGAAACACCTGGCCCAGGACGGTGGGGGCCGTGGCTTCGAAGGGYGGGTAGAGGGCCTGGAGAGCACTTTGCACCGCYGCATCCAGCGTCCCGGCATCCTGTRGGACAGAGGGAAGTGTCACTGGTGGGAGAATGGCCCTGCAGTGGGGACACYGTTCCCCTTGAGCCTGCCTCTGCCCACCATCCCACACTGCCCCTTGCCGCTATCAGGCCCTGGGAAACCCACACTGGTGATTCTGCTGAGCTCAGGTGCTCCAAACSCTCCTGGGCTGGATATGGGGGGAGCTGGCAGTGGAGCAGAGCAAGCACGGCACAGGAGGGGCGTAGCAGGTCCGATTCCCAGGGCCGAGTTGTGGAGTCTGGGATAAGCCCTGCAGGCAGCAGCCGCCTTGCTCGGCCCCCGGCCATGTGGAGGCGGAGGAGCCGTAGCAGCCGAGGGGTTAAGTGGAGTCAGACCCGACAGGACAGATCGTGGGGCTGTGCCGGGCTCCGCAGCTCGCTGCAGGAATGCRGCAGATGGGAGGACGGACAAACATCTGAAGATGGATAGGGTGTTTTGGTCCAGACTCATTGCTGAATTCGCCAAACTCAAAATTACTCCTGCATTTTCTGGGAAGTGTTCTGCTGCATTGCATCCCCCCGCGCTGCCCCAGGCTGGGGTGAGGACACTGAGTCTGTGTCATGTGTGAACCAGCAGTTCCCAGTTCGTTCTCTCGGTGCTGCTGGAGCTGTTGGCTGTCTGGGCAGAGCTGGCATGGCTGGTACACGGAGGGAAGCCATCCCACAGCTCCTGTGATGCCCAGGCTGTGCTCCAAGCAGTGTGGGGATGACTGGCACAGCTGTCCAGGGGACCCCAYTGGTGAGTGAGGGAGAGGAGCATCCTCCAAGCAGCTGGGTCCTGCTCCTATGTGAGCACCCAGGAAGTCCCATGGGATTAGCTCAAGGTGAGCATTAGTTTCAGGCAGCTAATCCCTGGTCCAGGAGTCCATATAGAGACAAAGGGGCCACGGTTAATTCAGCTTAATTAGTTTTAATGCGCTTTAGYTAAAGCACTTTGCAGTCATGCTCTGGTTAATTCTTCATGACTTTTTTCCATGTCTCAACACAGGAGTCTCCTCCCCTTGCACCTGACAGGAGAAGTCACAGAGCTGGGCAGAGGAAGAGGTGAGCCAGTCCTGTCTCAGGGCCCTGATGTGCCAGTGCATGTTTCCTGTCCAGGCTTTCTGCCGTTGGACCTTTCTCCTCAAGCTTGGTCTTACTGTGTGCACAGTTCCTAGAATGGACTGGAGATCTCTCTCTGGAAAATCCCTACTGGGCTTTGCCCATTCCATGTTGCTCCAGTGGGGCACCGGTGCAGCCACCTGGTCCCCAGTGCTGAGCCCACCCAGGTGCCCACCACCTCCATGCCCAGCACTGCCAAGCTCAACTTCCTCCCCATCCCAACACCGAGGTGATGATCTGCAACAGAACGGAGGATCTATCCAGCTCCAAACGCTGCCATGAGAGATGAGCCAGGATGGCCTGCCCTGCCTTCAACAGTCTTTTAAATCCTTCCAGGGRYGGTGACTCCAGCACTGCCTGGGCAGCCTGTGCAAGGGCTTGACAGCCCTTTGAATGAAGAAATTTTTCCCTARTATCCAATCTAACCCTYCCCTGGCTCCACTTGAGGCTRTTTCCTCTCGTCCTATCACCCAGGACTCCATCCTGGGCAGGGACCACGTGAGCCAGTGCCAGGGGACAGCCAGGGACTGATGGAGGGATCAGACACAGCCCGGGTTGTGCCGGGGAATATTTTGGCCTGGAATGACTGACTAAAAATGTTTTCATGGAGTGTCACAAAGCACTTCATCACTGGGGGAGGCTTTTGGGGTAACCATGGTGCAGYGGCTCCAAGTTTGTAGGCGAAGCCGCATCTGGGCCGGCCAGGAGCCCATAGGAATCCAAAAGCAGCCAGTTATCCCAGTCCCTCCACCCGCTGTGAGGGAGCGGAGCTGGAACAAAGGCATTAGGAGCATAAGGAGATTTACATTTGCAAAGCTATTTCCATTTTAATAAGCCAAAGTGCTGTTAAATAGAGATTGATATTTCTCCCCAAATACTCATATTTTTAAAGTGGTTTACACCAACAAGACAGGCTGGGCTTTGGGGTTTTGGTGCAGGGAACTTGTTTAACCTGTGCCCAAAGCCACAGGGTGACTCAGCTCCAGCTCCTTTCTCCCCCCTGCTCAGGAAGGAGYGAGGTTTGAGCCTGGGACCAGTCCTGAATACCAATTCCTCAGKCTCTCCGGCAGCTCTTGCTGTCACCATCTTTGGCAGGACGCGATGCAAGCGCTCAGCCTGGCCCGGAGCGGGAGGCCGCGCTCAGCACAGAGCCCGGGGCAACGGCACGTGCCAGCCGCGGTGACAATGATCCGCTCGGGCTGGCCAGCATCCCCCTGTGCTGGCACGGCTCTCGCAGCAGCTCCCACTCGCTGCTCCCAGCCCCCTGACAAACTTTGCAGGGAAGTTTGAGCATCGCAGGACGCACCTGCCCGAGCAGCCGCAGCCACATCCTCCTCCACACCTCATCTCCAACCTCGCACTGACCTCCACCCTCACACCCAGCGTCCACCTTCACACTGACCCTGTTCCAAATTCACACCCAACCTCCACGTTCTCATCTATCTCTGCCTTCCCACCCACCTCTGCCCTCACTCCCACCTCCCCACCCACTTTTGCCTTTGCACCTCCTTCCACCTTCGCTCCCGACCTCACTCTTCTGTCGYTCCYGCTGCCCACCCSKTGCCCRCCCGGTGCCCACCCGGTGCCCACCCGGTGCCCGCGGGACCGGCAGCCACGGGGAGGGGCAGCGGCAGGGACGGGGATGCCACAGGAATTACCATGTTTCCCAGGAAGTGGCAGAGGGGCCGGGGGCCGCCGCACCGACCGTCCCGTCCCTCCTCCTCCTCGCCGGCTCTCCCCGGGCCGGGGTTCCCGGTCGGTCCCCGCTCCGCCGGCCGCTCTTCCCGGCGCCGGCGCCTCCGGAGCCGCGGGTGGGGGCGGGCAGCCCCGGCCCCCCCGGCCCCCTCCGCCCGCCGCGCCTCTTCTGGGGGAAAAGAGAAGGAAAAGAAAAAAAGAAGGAAAAGAAAGAAACGGCGAAGAAAGCGGGAGCGGGGCGGGGCGGGAGAGGGGAGGGAGGGGGCTGGAGGGGGTGGCCCGGAGAGAGCCGGGGGGGGCCGGGGGGCCGCTTTCCTGTGCCCGCGGGCGGGAGCCCCCCGTGCGCTGTGTCCCCTGTGTCCCCGCGGGCAGAATGGGATGGGATGGGAGTAGAGGGAAAAAGAAACCCCGAGGGGGTGGCAGGAGGCGGCTGTAGCGGGTGTCCTCCCCCAAACCCCGCCGGCCCCCGAGCAACTCCAGGCGGAGGGTCCTGGATACACCGAGAACATGCGGAGCTGCACGTGCATGTGCGTGCACATGTGTGCAGATGTGTTCATACATGCATTAGGTGGGAGTCTCCCTCTTTTCCAATTCCCCCAGGGTCAGTGTGGTCCCCTGGCACTGATCGGTGTCTCAGATGCATCCTGTGGCTCCCAGTTCCCATTCCTGAATTGTCCCAAAAGTGCAGCAGCAGGACAGTGAGTGTCTCTCTGGAGATTTGAGCTGTTCCAGGGATGGGAAGGACCAACTGAGGGGCAGGATCATGGGATTCAGCCACCAGAACTGTACAAAAACAACCAGCATAAGAGCCAAAGCCACAGATTTGGCGTCTGCTAAGGCAAAGTGCTGCTTCACAGAGCCCTGCCAGTCCTGGGCACAGACACCTCTCCCAGCACCAGGCATGCTGGGCACAGCTCYCCCAGCCCCAGGCACTGTGGGCACAGTGTCACCAGCTCTGCCAGCGCTGTGCACAASGTCCAGCACTCTGGGTCTCTCTGTGCCTTGCTCAGGCTGGARTCATTTCCACTGTTACATTCGTGGGAATGGGCTCAAGGCCGGGACGAGGGCTGGGAAAGGAGACAGCAGCCGGGCGGGTGGGACAGCCACAGCGTGGGCTGCAGCCTGCCGGGGCAGTCTCGCTAGTGAACATTTGTCCAGGGATCAGCGAGCGGCCAAAGGACACGCTGTGAAAACAAGCCGAGACGGGAGGAGGTGCAGCTGGGCTGCTGGCGTGTGGGAGGGAGGACGGCGCCAGCGAGGCCTTCGCGTTTGCTTCCCATTTCCTCGGGAGCTGGCGAGAGCTCTCCCGCTGCCCAGAATGGATCACCAGCACTGCAAAGGCTCGGGAACCAGCGATGGTGGGTGGGCAGAGGCTCGGCTTTGGGTACCAGGCTGGGRTGCCCAGCTGAGCCCACTGCAGGGCTGGCCCTTGGCTCCAAACCCTGCTCAGCATTCCCAATGCCAGCTGGGACCAGCTGGGCAGCTCCCTCTCCCCACCAGTGGCCAGTTGCTCCTGTAATTGTGTCAGTTCACTTACCAGCTTCAGGTTGTTCGCAGTTCCCCTGAGTGGAGGGGAAGGTGAGCTCAGGGCTGCGACCCTTTTTAATCACATGGTCACCTCAGAAATGAACCCAAGAGCTGTGGCTCTTGCATCTCTTGATGGCCACCAGGGCCAGGAGAGCAGGTTGAGGGCAGGGAGGACAGTGTGACTGACTGTGTCCTGTCACCAGCACAATGGATCAGTCCCTCTGTGATGCTGGTGAGGAGACAGACGTGGAGCCCAGCCCAGAGGGACCCCACCACCCTGCGCCAGAGTAGCAGCTCCCCACCTGCACCTTGAGGTGTCTCTTGCCTTCCTTGCTCAGCTGGGCCACCCTGTGAAGGTAACYAGTGGGTCCAGCTCTGCATCCCCACATCCCCCAGAGCAGCTCCCCRTGCCCTCCAGCCAGCCTCAGACAGCAAGGCTGGGAGCCGGGAGTTGGGGTGCCTGGGATAAAGTCCAGCAAAAGGCAGAGCTTCTGGGGGCCACCCGGGTGCCCCYAGGGCTCCTGACCCCATGAGCTCACCCTCTTCTGCTGCTCCCATTCTCCATGTCCTGTTTGTCCCGAGCAGCTGCTGGGACAGGCTGCATGTGGCCTCCTGCCCTGCCCCTCCGCCGGCACAGAGCCACCATTCAGATCCCCCCAGGCTCTGCCCGAGGTCACCATTCTTGCATTTTTATTTTTACTTTTYTGCAAAATCAACCCCCTCGGCTCTCTGCGTCCCCTTTTGTCTCCCACGAGGCTCCCAGACCTTGTGTCACGAGCTGGYGTGCTGCGAGAGGAGCCCGCCTGTCTGGGGGAATGCAGCTCTTGGCGGGGGGAGACTCAGTGACTGTAGTGCTGGTCCCAAGGGTCCCCTGGGATGTCACTGGGATGTTGGGGTGAGGGCAGTGAGCCCAGCATCAGGACTGGTGTCTGGGGCTGGCTGCTGGTGGGAGGCTCGTGGCGCCCACCCACATTGCCACATCCAGGGTCCTGGTCTGTGCCCCATGGGAGTYTGGCTGTGTGAGCTCTGGGGTCCCCGGGTGTCCCCGCTGCCTGTGTTGGATGAAGTGGTCAGGGCTGGCGTCAGCAGCGACCCCGTGCTGGCCCAGAGCCCTCCCGGCTCCAGCAACAGCCGAGGCTGGGTCATGCTGAGCCTGCAGCTGGGAAAACAACTGTGGAGGAGCCCCCACATGTTCCCCAGCTGTATTTTTAGATGCTGCTGGGTCAGAGGCTGTCAGAGATGTGCAGGTGACAGTGGACAGTGACACCACACGTGGTGCAGTGGGCAGAAGCTTCAGCCCCCCACGCCTCGATGACAGGGTTTCTCCGAGGTCTGATGAAGTCCCTGTTGGTCTGGGGGYAACCACAGTTGCCATGGGTCCTGACCACAGCCCACTTCTGTTGGTGACAATGAACTTGTCCAGGCTGGAAATGGGTGAGGGAGGTTTTATTTTGGGCTGTCAACTTCTCTTTCCAAGTTCCCTCCAAACTCTGCTCTCGTTTTTCTTGCCGAGTCCCTGGGTTTTCCCCAGCCCACATACACCTGCCAGCTGCACCAGTCATTCCTCTGGCATGGCCCAAGCTGCCCAAGGAATTCCCAGGTGTGGTTATGGCACTGGGGAACACAGATGTGTCCAGATTTTCTTGCAGATGGCAAAAATGCTGGTGTCCCTGCTCACAGCCCAAACCCATCTGCTGTTGTCCCTGGGTAGCCCCAGCACGTGGCTGCAGGGKGGTTTGAACTGTGGCATCACGAGAGAAATGTGGAAAGAGCTGGGGTAGGACAGGGAACTGCCCACACGTGCCGAGGAGTGTGTGGGGCAAGAGGGACTCCTGACCTGGGGACAGTGGAGAGAGGGGTCCTGACCTGCAGTCCTGGGCAAAGGGCAGCAGCAGCACAGATGTCCTGCAAGKCCCTGTCCTCCTGGGCTCCTGGTTCCCATCTGACCATTCCCATTCCTTCACCAGCAGTCTGGGGGAACCTGCTCTTCAGAGCAGACCCCACACTGCCAGAACAGACAGAGCAGCTCGGTGGGAGAAGCCTTTACCTGTCCGAAGGGTTGGGTCAGGCAGGGCAKGATTTCCTGTTCCATTCCATCTGTCACCCCTTGCAGGAAGCACTACCGGAACCAGCACAAATGGTGAGCTTTAGATGTGGTTTTGGTTGTTCCTTGCCAAACACAGCAGTGTTTGGTCAGGGTTCAGCTCTTTGAAGGTTTTTTTAGTTTGACTTCAAAATTTGCTCAAAACCAGGGGAAGACTTCCTGGTTTTGCTTCCTCTCTGTGCTGCTCCCTGTAGCATTTTGTTTCTCCTTATGGAAGAGTTCTGGTTCCTCATTGCTCCTTCTGAACATCTTGAATATTGTTTTGAAGCAGCCCTTCAGTGAGATGGGGTATYACCATGGCAGGTTTGGGAGCTTCTGCTCTGAACTGAGCCAGACCCAGCAAAGAGCTGATGATGGGTGACAATGCCAAGGATGCTGTGAGTTGGGATTTGGCCTTTTGCCTTTCTCCTCTCCTCTTGGATGCTTTTTTTTTTTCCACAAAAGGAACTCTGGGCAAAAGGAGTTCTGCCCACAGGCTCCTGGCTCCCAGGGATGGATTAGGCTGGCACTGATGGAGGGTCACAGCCTGTGGGTGGTGATGGAGGTGCCTGTGGGACACAGCCCTGCCCTGGGTGGGTGGTTTGTCCCTCTCTGCAGGGACCATCCTTGCCATGTCCCTGTATCCCAGGGGGTCCCAGAGCTGACAATGACTGCGGTGCCGCTTTCCAAAAACCCAGTGGGCATTTGCTGGATGTCTGCCAGGAGCCTGCAAGTGACCCTGCTGAAAACTTGTGGGACAAAAGGCAAAGAGGAGCTGAGTGTCTTGGTCTCTCCGTCCTGGGTCTCCACGTGCCGAGTTCCTCCAGTGCAGACACACAGGACCCCGTGGCCTCATCCCTTGGGGTCTCCTGAGGCTGCAGCACCGCGGGATTGCTGTGCTTGAGCAATAGCTGCATTTCACAACATCCTTGATGGGTTCAGGGATGTTGCCTCTGGCAGCCAGGACTTCCCTGGATCCAGCATGAGATCTGCCTGCATCAGCAGCCATGGGTTTCCTGTGCCTGGACCCCAACAGGAAATGAAAGTAACTGAATCATTTCTTCTTCCCTCACTTTTGTCCTGCAAGGAGAGCCCAGCCAGCCCAGCTCTCCTGGSTGGGGGGCACAGGGGTGTTCCCCCCTCACCTTTGCCTGGCTGTACCCTGGTTCCTGCCCCTGTCTCGAGCCATCTTGACAAAAGCTGTGGCATCCAGAGGAGGCTGCAAAATGTTTAAACTCAGATGTATTGTCTTTGGGGCTTGGTCCTGGGGCAATGGATGTCTCCTCCTGTGTGTGACTGCCCCGTGACAGGCCCTGGAGGTGCAGGGCACTTCACTGATGTTGTTACCCTGGTGCAGCTGCCCAGCCCAGGCAGGTGCCCCTTTGCCATCTCTTCTGGGTGTGGGCATCTCCAGGGTCTGCTCACATGGGGTCAGAAGCTGTGACCTTCCTTCCTTAGCCATTGCTGTGACCCAAGGCTACTCTGGTGTCTTTGGCAGGTCTGTGGTGTGACAGCAGCAGCTCACAGAGTAGTCAGGAGATTCATAGCACAGGGACAGGGATGGGGAGCAGCAGGGCTGGGACACTGCTCCTGGGCAGCCTGGGCTGTTCCCAGCTTTTGCTAGGTGCAGGCTGCAGGAGTGTGGCTCTGTCAGGCTCAGCTGGCAGTGCCAAACCCAGCTCTTCTCCACTGAGGATCTGCTGCTGACACAGTCAGGGACTGCTGGCACTGACAAAGAGCTGGAAACTGGGCTGCTGCCTCCCAGTTTCCACTGTCCCTTCCCTGCCATCGGTGAGAGGCACCAGGTGTGCCTCTATGCTGGKCTGTGCCATGCTGCCAGTGGCACAGAGGAGCAGGGCGGTGGCCAAGCAGGAAGTCCTGGGGACGTCCCCTGTTGTTCCACACACCACCCTCRCTTGTGGTTCCCGTTTTGGCAGGGATATAAAAGTGGTGCGGGCAGGAAGAGCCYAGCACGGCACGGCAGGAAGCCAGGATGGGAGCACAGAGCCTGGCAGTGGCATGTGGGGCACTGGCCTTGTGCCTGGCACTCACCRCAGCCACCAACCCYGGCTTCGTRGTGAGGATCACCCAGGCAGGCTTGGACTACGGTGGGTTCTGCTTCTGATTTCTCTCCTCACAGATGTGCTGGGGGCAGAGGTGTGGAGCCAGGTACCCTGTGAGAAATGCAGGATCCTGGGCCAGGATGGGGGATCCTCAGCCATGGGTGCCCATGTGAGGAGCACAGGGGCAGGACGRAGAAATCCTTGGACAGAGGTGCCAAATGCACCATCGCCCAGGGCTTCCCCTGTTGCACCTGTCTGACTCRCACTTTGCAACCTGATGGAGTCCCTGCAGAGGGGACCAGGGGGCTGCAGCCAGGCAGTGTTGGGGGCTGGCACAGCAGGAGGGTCTGGTCCCTGAGGACCACATGTCCAGGCAGCTGAGCCGTGAGCCGTGGAGGAGAGAGTGCAGAGGAGAGGGGAGGTGGGGTGGTTCGAGTGGGGCAATGACAGAGATGGATGGGCCACGTGCTGTTTTTATCGAAGCGGGCAGAGCCCCGGCTCCAGCAGAGCGCAGTTATAGATTGAAATACACTGTGTGAGAAACAGCTCATTTACCCGGCAGCTCTGCCAGCTGAGTGCGAGGGAACGTGGCTCCCCTTCCCACACAGAGACAGGGATGCAGCACCCACTGATGCCGTGCTGCACCCTGAGACTTAAACTCCATCCATCTTTGCCTGCTGGCACTGGGTACGGAGTGGTCCAGTGCCTAGGTCCTCCTGCACACCTCACCTGGTTCACTGCCTGGACACTGAGGACTGRGACCTCTCCTTTCTCTGGTCACCACCTTCTGCTGGGTTTGCAAGCAGGGCACCAGGCAGCATTGTCTGTGTGCTTGCAGGGCTCTGTGCATGGAGGTTTGCTTCAAAGCCAGCCCAAGAGATGGAAAGCAGCCAGGGCATCACCTGGATGTTTTCTTTGATCCTCCCACTGTATGCCCAGTGTGTGCTCCAGCTCCTGCAGTGACGCTCTCCCTGTGTCCCYACAGCCCATGAGCAGGGCATCACGATCCTGGAGAAGGAGCTGGCCCGGCTGAAGCTGCCAGACATCTCGGGTGACTCTCGTGTCATGCACGTGGGGAAGGTGCGCTATGAGCTCTCCAGGTGAGCCCTGCCAGTGCCTTGGAGCCATCCACTGCCCCCCTACTCAGGCAAGGGGCAGGGAGGGTGGGGAGCCCCCAGAGCAGCAAGGACCACCTTGTCCTCTCCCCTGCTCCCTGAGATGTTGGCCCCAACCTTGGCACAGGTTGAGATGTTCCCATTTCACTCCCTGCCCAAGGGGAAAAAAGGAACCGGGGTGATGGTACTCTGAGTATGGGTGGATTTTGTGCAAACAAAGCCTGGGTGGCGGAGATGGCCTTGCCTGTGGGACCTGTTCCCATATGGAGCAGGCGCCCAGCCCCTGTGGAAATGCCAGCTCCCTGCTGCCCCAGGTGCCTCTCTGCTCCTGCTGKGCAGGGTTTGGAGCTGCTGTGGAGGCTGCAAGGCCACATTCCCAAAGGTGCCACTCTGCTCTGTGTGTCCCTGCCAGGCACAGCTTTGCAGCAGCAGAACTGCAGCTGGGGATGCTGTGTCAGTGCAATGACTCCACTCCCTGCCTGCCTCCCTGCCTCTCTCCCTCCCCAGCCTTCTGCTTGGGTGCAGGAACCATTGTAATATGACTTTTATATTTATTAATTTATTTTTAGACTGCGCCTTCGTGATTTCCACTTGCCGCACTCCCGGATAACCCCAATCTCCAATGTGGGCCTGCAGGTCTCCATCTCCAATGCCTTTGCTGAGCTGGATGGGGACTGGCGGGTGAAGTTTCTCTTCATGTACGTGTCCAGCTCTTACTCTTCACATTCTGGCACTGACTCTATGTCTCCCTCTCTGGATCTGGACAGGTTTTTTCTCCTTTCCCTCTCCTTTTTGTTTCAGGTACCTGTCACTTTTCTTCACAGATGCGATGGATAAAAYGGGGTGGGAGGCAGGAACGAGGGGAGCTATATATGGACTCCTGGGTTTCTCTTCCACCTTCCCTATTTGCTCTCACTCCCCTATATTTAAAGGTTACCTCTCCTAGTTTATGTGCCAGTGAAATTTGTTTCCCCTGAGTTTGAACATTTTGCCAGTCTCCTCTGAGTGCACTATACAAGGGGGAGACTGAGCTAGGTAGGTTCCTCCTGAAGCTGATTTGAGGCCCCTTCCCTAGGCCTTGGCATTGAGAAACATCCCTTTCTCATCCCACTCTCCCTGCAGCCGGGACCATGGCTCGTTTGACGTGAAGGTGGAAAATGTCTACATCAAAATCAGCCTGAGGCTGGGCAGTGACACCGCTGGAAAGCCCACCATCAGCACCTCAGACTGCAGCACTCGCATCTCCAATGTCCGGGTGCTCTTTTCGGGCAAGTTTGTGTATGTAACTTCACTGGAAGATCTGGAAACACAGTGTGCTAGCTCACCTGCCATGGGAATGTGGGTCTGCCATTGGAATGCGGCCCTGGTGCAAGGCGTAAATTGTTGGCAAATCTGAGGTTGCCTGGTGTTAAAACTGGCCTGAATTTCTCCTGCTGTGACTACRCATTAAAAGGGATGGGTGTGGTTAAGGCAGACACCAGACTTCTGTGGTTCACCAGCGAGTCTGTTTGCAAATGTAAACCCTGGGGCAAAGCCAGATGCCAAATTGATGTGGGATTGATGTTCCCAGGGTCTTGCATCTCTGGAGTCTCCCTTTCCTGGGCACACACTTCTGCAATATGGCTCTGTGTTTCTCTGCAGGTGGCTTTACAACCTCTTCCACAGCGCTATTGAGTCCAGGTTCCGAAAGATTTTGGAGACCAAGGTATGTGAGCAATGGAGGGCAGGGYCCTGGGTTTTTCTGGGAGTCTTTAGCCCTCACTTGTAGGTGACATGCTGGAAGGATCAGATATAGGGATGTAACCAGAGCCAGAGTACAGGACTGTGTTGCCAATTCAGTGAAAGCCAAAGGAATGGGCATTGCAGGCTCCATAGCATAGTGTGGCTCAGGATGAATTTGAAACCTACAGGCTTTGCCAAAGCTCAGCATAATTGRTTCCTAATTAACAAAGACTTTTCTTTCCATGTGGTCAGTTAATTAGATCTTATGTCTCAGCCAAGCTCGCTGTAACCTGATCAGAGCTGTCCTTTAACCAGCCATGGTCTGCAGGGCTTTGGGGAGCAATTGGGGGGAAACTCTCATTCCTGGATTTCAGACATTTGTTGTTTTGTTTTACTGATGGGGGTCAGGGAGCTCTGGTACCACAGCCTGATACAGACGGTGACATGCAGGAGACCTGCAACAAGACACAGAAACAAGCTGTTAGCAATAATTACTACAAGGATAACTGGCATGAGTTGCAGCCTCTCTGGAGGTGAACCTTGCTTGGGAAGGAGGCAGGTGGAGAACAGGCAAATCCCACTCTTGCAACAGATCCCATCCTATTCCCAATTCCATGCAACATGTTTCCYAAGGCCCCTGGGGTCTGTGGCAGCAGATGGTCTGGCAGCAAGAGCAACACAAGGCCCTTTCTGCCGTTTTGTCCCCAGGAAGAAGGGCAGCTCTGGGATTGCAAAGGAGCTCCACTGCCCTCTGCATCTCCTCGGAGCCCCCTCTGCCCCACACATGTTCCTTGTTTTTGTGGAGTGATGATGCAAGAGGCAATGGGCAGGAGAGGGCAGGGCAGGGATTGAGCTACATCAGGACCCCAGGGCACAGCCTGGCCCCAACCCAGCCCAGGCAGCCTCCTGCAGTGTCTGCCTCCTGCTCTTGCTGCCATGCTTGGGCAGTCCCTGTGCCCCCAGTCCTGGGACTACAGGGAAATGCAGGTCACAGGGAGATCCCACTCATAGGGAAATCCAGGTCACAGGGAGGTCCCACTCATAGGGAAATCCAGGTCACAGGGAAATCCCGGTCACTGGGACCAGGGCTGCATTTGCCTGCCTGCAGCAGCATCCTCACAGGCATTGATTGGGCATTTCCAGCACAGATGGAAAAATGTCACTGGGCATAGGAAGAGCTACAACCTACTGTCACTGAGGCCATGCCCAAGGCTCTGTCCCCTCCTCGTCAGTGTGGTCACTGCCCCTCTGCAGCGCTGTATCTCRCCATCAGCTCTGTGGGCTGCATGCCCAGTCAGAAAGATGATGGGCAGATCCTACCCATGGTAGCTGCGATATTACAGGGAAAACCCTGAAAAGAGCTTGTGCAGGTTTCCTCAGCCGTCTGGCAGGATTGTGCCCCGCAGTAAATTTCTCAGGCTAGTGGTGAGCCTKCAATTAAATCCCCACTAATGCCAGGGCTTCACTCATGGATGACAGAGGGATGCACTCTTCGATCCTGGCACATAGAGCTGTAGGAGCTCAGCAAAGCTCAGCTTCARTGCAGGCAGTGCTCCTGCCCCTGCGGGGTGGGTTAACCCTTTCACTTGCTCTGCTTTGGCCAAGTCCTGGCTCCTCAGCACACYTCATTCCTGCATGGGCCATGCGAGATTCCTTCCAAGGGTCTCCCTAGAGCTGAATTGTGCAGAGGGAAAATTGCTGCAAGCAGATGCTTGTAGGTATAAACTCTGCTTGTGTCTTGGACACTTAATGTGATGTCTGATGAATGGAGACAATCTTTACTGTGTGCTGTTTTATTTAAACAGGTTTTGTCACAGAGCAGGGAGTGTGGCCGAGGCTCCCAGTGGGGGCTGTGACCTGGCTGCCCCCGCCCAGCTCTGTGGCTTTTCTGTCCCACAGGTCTGTGACCTTGTGACCAAGTCTGTGCACAACGAGCTCCAGGAGTACATCCAGACCCTGCCAGGTACTGAGGGGCTGCACGTGAAACTTCAGAAGCGGTTCTTCCTAGCTGTTCCTGGCCGTGAGGAGTGTTTTACCTTGWGTCCACCCCCTATCTCTCTGTATTCCTGCACCCAAACTGGAGCTGGGGAGCACGTTCTCAGCAGAGATAAATCACTGTGTGCCCTGTCTGGATCTGTGTCCCAGGAATGGTGGGGGCTTGGGCTGCCTTAGCTGGGGGACCCAGGCCATTCCTCAGGCCCAGAAGCTGACTGAGAAACATCCAGGAGAAAAAAAAAAAAATTTTTCTTCTAAACAGAAGCAAGCACAGGGGCAGTTGATACTGARCTGATGCACCAGGAAGCTCAAGTATGGCACTGCCCAGATGCCAGAGGAGGCCATCTGCTCCCAGCTTTCTCATCTCCTTCCCACTCACCTCTCTTCCCTGTGTTTACAGTCACGGCCAGGTTAGATGCCAAGACTGGGATCGATTACTCCTTGGTGGCACCCCCAAGAGCTACTGCCCAGTCCCTGGACGCAGACCTGAAGGTGAGAGGCTGCCCTGGAGACACCTGACTTGGCAATGCCATTGCCACAGGCAGGTGGGAACTGAGGTTTTTGTAYCTGCTGCAAATGCTGTTTGCCAGCCTGAGTCAGCAGGTGAGCCCCACTGCTATTTGTACCTTTTCCCCACCTCTCTCCCTTCTCACAGGGTGAATTCTACTCCCTGGCCCACCGCTCCACCGTCCCCTTCTCACCACTGCCACTGGCCTTCCCCTCGGATCACGACCGCATGGTTTACTTTGGAGCCTCCAGCTTCTTCTTCAACACTGCCAGCCTTGCCTACCACAAGGCCGGGGCACTGGTCTTTGAAATCACAGATGCCCAGGTGAGTGGCACGAGTCAGACAGGGCCCCACACCCCGGCAGTGGTTCCATTTGCTGAGGAACTCCAGGGGCCGCCAGCAGTGTTGGAGAAACCCCAGTGAGAGAGCTGGGGCTGTGGGATGGGGCTGGGCTGTCGGACACATGTGGGGATGGGAGGGCTCACCATGGGCTCCTCTGTGCCACATTGCCCTGGTGTGACAGTCCTCTCYCTGCAGATCCCAAAGGGTGCTGACTTGCACTTGAACACCTCCATGTTCTCAGCCTTCATTCCCCAGGTGAGCGGTCTGGCCCTACCTGCCCAGAGCTCTTGCACACACAGGCTTTGCTCTGTGCCACGTGTTCCCCCCAGGAGTGGGGGTTTGTGTGGCTGTTCCCATCCTCTCCCTACTCCCACACAGCTGGAGGAGATGTACCCAAACATGCCAATGAAGTTCAGGCTGTCCACTCCCACTGCTCCGTTCCTGACTATCGGACCAGGAGGAATCTCACTCAGGCCCATTGTGGATGTCCAGGCTTATGCCATCCTTCCCAACTCCAGCCTGGCTCCTCTCTTCCTCCTCAGCCTGGTGAGTTCAGCACAGTGGGGCAAAGAAGGGAGTTTGAGCTGTGCCCGGTCCCATTGCCCAGATCCTGCCAGGGGAGGTGCTGGGCGCTGTTCGGGCACACTGGGGGTGTCCCCAACAGAACAACCCCTGAGCTGGCAAATGCCAGGTTTAATGCGGGGTGCAAACACGCCCCTGGATGGGCAGTGGTCCCACYGTGTTCCAGCTGCTCAGAGCCCTTCCTGGGTGTCTGGTTAGGGGTGAGGTGGGGTGAGCACTGCCAGAGCTCTGTGCTCTCTCTCAGACAGGGAAYGTGTCCGCTGTCATCAATGTGAGATCTGGCCACATCGTTGGGAGCCTGGACGTGGGCAGGTATGGAGGGGAGCAGCCACTGGCTGGGCAGGGGGTGGCTGGGGGTGTTTCTAATTTGGGGGTGGGAATGTCTCAGGGATGTGGACTTGGTGTGGAGGGAATGAGCTGGGGCTGGAGGAAGTGGGATCTGCATGGCCATCAACAGATGGAATTGCTCCCTCCCTTGGGACATCCTCCACAGCACCACTTCTGTCCCTGTGCAGGATCAGGCTCTCTCTGAAGGATTCAGCTGTTGGCTCTTTCCAGGTAAGCTATCCTTGACCATGACCAGAGCCCCCACCACGGAGCTGGGACCCTTTTGGGGGCCAGGATGAAGGCTCATTCYCCCCTGGCCCCCAACATGGGACCTGAGGGTGCACCCAGGACCCCACATTGACCCCACAGCCACCTCCTGCCTCASCCTGCAAGGCTGGGAAAAGATGTGGAGCCAGATCCATTGCTGCTCTCTCCCCGACATTTCCTACCCCGCCAATGTGGCCAGACAAAGCTGCTGGTCTCTGGCAAAGTCTGTGCCCATCCCAGCTCCTCATCTCTTTTTCTTTTCCTAATTATCCTCCAGTGCCTGCATGTCTCCTGTCCTGCAGACTAAAGCTTCTCCTTCCTCCCCAGGTGCGAACGATGCAGTCCTTAATGAACATTTTGGCTGCCAATGTCCTGCTCCCTCGTCTCAATGGTGAGAGCCTGCTGAAGGGAATGGGGGTGCTGGAGCACTCTCCACTCGGTTTGCTCCATCCAAGTGGKCCCAGCTCGCTAATTAAATCCTCATTGCCCAGGCTGATCCATGGGAAAAGCGCGAGGCAGCAGTGAAGTGGTGGGAGCCTCTTGCTGCTCTGACAGGCTCCCAGCAGCAAACGCAACGGAAAAAATGAGCCCTATGCATATCCTAATGCTTTCCAGACCCTCTCCCTGAATCCCTGCTCCTCCTGYCTCGCCAGCAATTCGGATCAGAGCAGGGCTGGTGGCTGGAGGGGCCCARGGGGGTGTCATGGCACAACACACAGCTCTGCTGTGGAGCCTGGGAGGAGTTTCCTCTGCCTGTCCCAGGAAGAGTGGAGGAGAGGAAARGTCTGGGGGAAAGAGGTGGTCACCTTCTCTGTGTGCTCTATGCTCCCTTGAGACCCATTCCCATCCCAATGCAGACACGTGTGTTGTCTTTTCCAGCCCGGTTAGATGAGGGTTTCCCTCTGCCMCTTCTGGACAGGATTCAGCTCTCCAATGTCCTCGTGAGGTTCCACCAGGTGAGTGGGGGGAGCACCTGGTCCCAGCTGGGGCCGATCCTGCTGCCCCTAAACCCCTGCCTACCAGCACAGCCTCCAAATGCAGTTCCCCCAGCTGTGCTGGGAAGTGACAGATGGGAGGGTGCTCTTGGCCGAGATTCCAATGGCCCAGTCACAAACCAGAGCACAGTGGCAGGCCAGTGCTTTCTCTCTTCCTCCCAGAATTTCCTGCTGCTTGGAGCAGACGTTCACTTCCAGCCSAAGGATGGAAATAAGGCGAGGAGAGCCGTTCAGCACTGAAAATGCTCCCTTCACCCTTCCCTGCCCCTGATCCCACTGCCAGAGCCAAAGACCACCGGTCCTGCTGCTGTCCTGCACTGCTGCCTTGGCCCAGACCTCCATCCCCACACTGGGACCTCACCTGGTGCTACCAAGAGCTGGGGGTCCCCTGCCCCGAGCCACCCATCCCCTCCTCCCTCTGAGCAGCAATAAAGGCGCTGGTGCCAGGGCTGAGGTGTTGGTGTCACTGTCTGTCCCTCAGGGGGCACAGGGCCAGGTGGGAGCTGGATACGTGCTTCGGCTGTTTCCATGGCTGTGGCCATGGCRAGGCACCATGGAACACCYGTGTCCCTCTGTCCTGTCCCTGGGCTCCAGGCTTGKGGCAGAGTRGCTGCAAAGWACCCGCTGGAAARGGYCCTGGATGTGCTGGTCAGCAGCAGCTGAACGTGAGGCCCAGGTGGCCARGAAGGCCAAGGGCASCCTGGCCTGCATCAGCCATAGYGGRGCAGCCAGACCTGGGAASRGACTSTCCCCCTGGCACTGGAGGSCACRTCTCAARTCCCTCACTTCAAGAAGGACATKGAGGGGCTGGAGCATTTGCAGAGAAGGGCRGTGRAGCTGRGGAAGGGGCTGAAGCACCAAGAGTGRCTGAGGGAGCAGTGGGGCTCAGGGGGGACMTTTTCTCTCTCWYCAGCTCCCCAACAGGAGGGCACARCCAGGTGGGGGTCARGCTCTGCTCYCAGGGAACAAGGGACAGGACAAGAGGACACGGTCATAAGCTGTTCATGGGGAGGRTTAGGTWGGACATKAGGAAGAATTCCTTCACAGAAAGGGTCATTAGACATTGGAATGGGCTAATGGGCTGTGCAGGGAGGTGCTGGAGCCACCATCCTTGGAGGTGTTTAAGGAAGGACTGGACCTAGTGCTCAGCGTCCTGGTCTAGTTGACATAGTGGTGCTGGGTCACAGATTTAACTCGATCTTAGATCTTTTCCAACCGAATTAGTTCCCTGATTTTGTGATTCCGCGGCGGCGCCGCCCGGCAGCGGGGCGGGCCCGGAACGGCGGCGGGGCGGAACGCGGCACTGAGGGGCGGAGGCGGCGGCGGGGCCGCTTTGTTGTGACACGGCGGGGCCGCCCCGTCCCGTCCGTCCCCCAAAGCGCCCCCCCGGCCATGGCCATGCTGCCCGGGGCCCGAGCGCTGCGAGCGGCGGGGCTGCTCCGCCCGCCCGGGGCCGCTCCCCGCACCGGGGCCCGCAGAGCGCAGTGCGGGTCGGGACAGCGGCCGGTGGGGCGCGGCGCCGCGCTGCCCCCGGGGCCCGACCTGCGGCACTTTCTCAGGGCAGCCGCCGCGGGGCAGCCGGGGCCGTCGCCGGAGCTGCCGCCTGAGCCGGGCTCTACCCCCGGGACCCCTAAAGGTCTGTGGGTCTGCGTGGCCGGAGCTGTTGCCATCAGCCGGATCCCGCGGCTGTGGGCTCGCTGCAGGGCCAAGGGCAGCCGTAAGGCCAGTGCAGACAGTGGTGCCCCGCAGCCTGAGCAGAGTCGGGGAAACGGCTTGTTTGGCAGCTTTTGGAGCCTTCAGAGGGTTTTGACACTAGAAGAAGTTTAGTCCTTGGCTTTAAGGCGGTGTATGTCTCTCTCCGTGGATCTGGACAGGGAGCAGGTTGTGTGTCCCCATCGTTTTGCTGAGCAAGGAGTGAGTTGTGTTTGTCCCGCTGTGGACCTGGACAGGGAGCAGGTTGTTGTGGCACCTGCCCGCAGTGTGTGCTGGGCTGTCAGCAATGGGGCTGTGGCAGAGCTCTGGCTGTGGTGCCCTAGCAGGGAATGGTTTCCATTGCCATAGTGTTGTACCTCAGGAGGGACAGAGCTGCTGCTGCTGCTCTGCAGTCATGGCCCAGCCCTGTCATGTTGCAGAGAGGAGTTCTGAGCACATGGGTTTCCCAGAGTCTGCCCTTCGGTTTATCCTTTGTGGGCTGCTGGTGAAGGCAGCTTTTRTCCTGCTTCTCTGACTCCAGTGGTGGGGTTGAAGGCTTCTTCCCGTAGAGCAGGTGACAGGACAGGTTGTGGACGGGAACTGAGCAGGSTCCTGCGTCACACGCCCTTTGTTGCAGTGTACCTGGAGACCTACGGCTGCCAGATGAACGTCAGTGACACGGAGATTGCCTGGGCCATCCTGCAGAAGAATGGCTATGCCAGGACAAAGGAACTGGATGAGGTAAGGCAGCACCTTGGCAATTCTCCTGGAGCATAAGGCTGTGGGGCCCTCACGCCCTGGCTGTGCCTGCAAGTCCCAGTTTTCTCTGGAGTGCAGTCCTGTGGGATGAGTTTTCTGAATTCTGTGGAGTGAAGGAAACTCCTTAACAAGTGTGGTAGAAAGCTGTGGGTTGTCTTTTTTCTTTAAACTACTGGGCTCCCTCTCAGTTGGAGAGGGATTGGACACAGCRGGATCCTCCTGTCTCATCTCTGAGTTTACTTTTACCATTTAGTGGAAGACTCTGCTTGTCTTCTGTTGCTTTCTTGCACCTCTGTTTGTTGAAACCTGCTGTGTACTCAGGCAGGGTTTTTTTCTCCAAGTTACGTTTTACTCTGCCTTTTCAGGTTGCCTGGGCAGAGCATGAGAGCTTATCATTTGGATTTTATACATTTTTCCTTTTGTTTTGCTTTCAATTTAGGCAGATGTGATTCTTCTTGTCACATGTTCCGTCAGGTAAGAGAACTGTCACTGCTGGGCTTGGACAGTTTTTAAGGTATTACCACTTGAAAGCCAAGGCAATAAATGTGTTGTGTGAGGAAAGGAGTGTGCAGGTGTGAAACCGGCAGTTTAGTTGAGGGTAGAGCTGGCTGATGCTACGATTTATAACATTAATTATGCTATAAATTGCTTTTCTATTAAGTGATAAGTTCTTTGGTAGTGTAAGCTCTGTCTGTATGTTACAGGTAGTGAGAAACCTGCACAATTCMTGATTTTATTTTTAAATATTCTGTATTCTCTTGAAGCAGCTGTCTAGTACAGGGTATGTACTTCAAAAACATGAAAAATATGTATGGGGCAATTTGATATAAAGGAAACTTTGCTTCTTTATTTTGAGTGCAGAAGATACCAAATGCTCATTGTCACTTGCAGCCTACCTCGTACAGTGGCCAAGGCAGTTTTTCTCCCCAAGAAAGAAAAAGAAATACCTCTCCCCTGAGGTATTTCTGCAGTGGAGATGTTCTCAGGCAAGCAAAGTGATAGTAGATAAGATAGAGTCAAAACATAATCCTCACACCACAAATGGTACTTTCAGGTACCATTAGATCCATCAAGTGGATGATTCCCTGGCTTTAGCTGAATTCTCCTCACAAAGCTCTTGGGCTGCATAAGGCTGGGGCTCTGCTCAAGCACTACAGTTGGAATACTCAGTTTTGCTGGCTCCCCAGGGAGAAGGCAGAGCAGGCCATCTGGAACCGTCTGCAGCACCTCAAGGTKCTGAAGGCCCGGCGGCCCCAGGCTCGTGCTCCGCTCCGCATCGGGATCCTGGGTACGGCTGTGCTGCCTCACCTGCATCCCCCTGGCAGCACCCACCTTTCCCTGGGTGAAAGCAGCTGGAAAGGGCTGCAGGGGAGTAACGGAGGGCAGGCACTGCTTCATGAGGACCCTTCTCCTTTGTTGGCAGGATGCATGGCTGAGAGGCTTAAGGAGGAGATTCTGCACAGGGAGAAGCTGGTCGATGTGGTGGCAGGCCCTGATGCCTACCGTGACCTTCCCCGGCTGCTGGCCGTGGCAGAGTCTGGCCAGCAAGCTGCCAATGTCCTGCTGTCTCTAGATGAGACTTACGCAGACATTCTCCCTGTCCAGACTAGTGCAGGTGGCACGACAGCGTTTGTGTGAGTATCTTTTCCCAGTGCTCGTTTCTGTGGCTCTGGTTTGGAAATCTGCTGTGCAGAACAGATGTGTCAGTGACAGCAGCTGCCCAGGAGATTCAGTGCCTGGCTGCACTGTGTCTGCCTGAGTTGTGTGTGTTTGCTGCTGCTTTGCTGTGTGGTCTGTGTGTGAATCTGGCTGGAGGCAGCGGTGCTGGGCTCACCCTGGGCAGGATGCAGCATGGATGGTTCTTCTGGAGCTGTTGTTGTGTGACTTGTGCTCTACCCCTCGGCAGGTCCATCATGCGGGGCTGTGACAACATGTGCAGTTACTGCATMGTGCCCTTCACCCGAGGCCGCGAAAGGAGCCGCCCCATTGCCTCCATCCTGCAGGAAGTGAAGATGCTCTCGGATCAGGTGAGGCAGAGCTTTCTCCCATTTGTCCCAAACCATGGGAGGAAGGRTGGCTCCTGGTGACAGCGTTTTCAGTGATACTTTTAACCAGTGTCACTGCTTTATCTGCAGAGATGAGGTTACTGTGGAGTTTCACCAGTGACTTTTTGATTCCCCTTGTAATACTCCATGACAGACAGGGAAGGGARTGCTTCTGTTGAAAACTCCTTGGAGTAAAACCGTGACTGCTCTTGCAGCTTAGCCATCCTGTCAGTGTTTTATTTTTCCCTCTSTTTATTTTGTAGGGAGTGAAAGAAGTGACCCTCTTGGGTCAGAATGTCAACAGCTTTCGAGACCTGTCTGAGGTGCAGTTTCAGTCATTGGCTGCCCCAGGCCTCAGCCGTGGCTTTAGCACCATCTACAAAGCCAAACAGGGAGGTTTGCGCTTCTCACACCTGYTGGACCAGGTCTCTAGGATCGATCCAGAAATGAGGATACGTTTCACCTCTCCACACCCCAAGGATTTTCCTGATGAGGCAAGTGTGAAATAATAAACACCTGGGCCTCTGCTTGTAGGCATGGAGGCAGCTCTGAAATGTGAGTTATGGGCCGTGCTGCCTTCCTCAAGGGAATGTGAAATACCAAACTGGGAGCAGCAGCTCCTGGGAGCTGGGTGTTGGGACTAAAGCTGGCAGGTTTGCAGTTTGCTGTCTTTTACCCAGGGAAGACTCTTCCCTTGGCACCCTGGTACAGTTAAGCTGTCTGAGACATCTCCTGATCACTTMCCACAGGTTCTGCAGCTCATCCAGGAGCGACACAACATCTGCAAACAGCTGCACCTCCCAGCCCAGAGTGGGAGCACACGAGTCCTGGAGGCCATGCGRCGAGGGTGGGTCACCCCAGGAGGAGCCCTGTGTCCTGCCCTCTGATTTGGGCTGTCGGTTGTTGGTTTCTCCTCACTGATGCTGTGGGTTTCCAGGTAGCAAATCC